GAAATGTGGCAAGCCTCGTGAGTCGGCAAGAAGCTGCTTGAGTGGTGGATGTTGTTTCATCAGACACCTGATGTGATGTCGTTGCTGGAGTGCAGGGGTTATTCGGAAGTTGCCGAGAAAAAGCGGGACCGCACCCCCGCATGCAAATCAAGACCCCATCACACAGTCGGAAAGACCTACCAAGCAGGGACACAATGCTGCATTTTGGTAATATATTGGGTCGCAATGATTCCCATTACACTTCATCGGAGGGAAAAATGGAAATTTCAGAGGCTTCAGCTATCAACGAGCGATCCGAGTACGTAAAGCTGATTGCCGGCGAACTTCGTTTCGTGACAAAGCAAGTCTGGGTTAGGGTTGTGTAGATATGCTGACCAATGAGCTCCTTGGATCACCACTACCTGGTCAAAGCTCATCAACCTCGATCAAATGCGGAGAATTGGAGACGCGCCAACCCCGACCCCGGCCTCTTCGTCCTGGTTCCTGAACAAGTTGCCTCTGTAACCGTAAAAGAGATGCGTCCAGGGTATTGAGCCGACTGGCTCCATCACCCTTATCAGTTTATCGTCTATTCGAGGTGACCCGTTGGACAAACAATAGGAGACAACCATGCGCGCAACACAGTCCCTTCCGTTCAAGAGCTTCTGGAGCCGGAGTCTTGACGAGCTCTCGCGGTTGACCAACATCGGTACGAGGAACTCAACCCATTTCCCAGTTTACGCTCTTGATATGCGCCATTGAACACCGACGGTTCGTTGCTGACATAGGGCTGGCTGGCCGGCCGGGGTTCGCAGTTGTCAAATCGGAGAACATCAGAGGCGCCACGGGGCCACGAGAGATCCACAACTTCCAGACGCCCGAGTCAGTCGCAGACTGCAAGCTCCTTTCCGACGCCGACGTGGGCGGCTCCTCGACCGCCCATCTCGACTGGGTTCCCCCGCCCAACGCCACCCCCACTGTCACCGCCGGCGACGGTAGCGACCGAAAACCGTACACCCCGATCCCCGGCAGCTATGCGCGCTTCCACGGCACCATCTCGCTAGAGCTGCCCACGGACCGGCGGGAGATTTCACGGACAGGCTACGCCGGCTTCCGGACGCTGGACCGGCCGCCCACCATTTTTGGCCGCGGCCTGTGGGACATTGATCCGTATGCCTACCTCGCGATCCGCGTCAAGACGGACGCGCGCAGTTACTTTGTCAACGTCCGGACCGAGTCGGTGGTGCCGCTCGACCTGCACCAGCATCGACTGTTCGTGAAGAAGCCCGGTCAGTGGGAGACGGTGTTGATTAAGTGGAACGACTTTGTGCGGACCAACCACGGTAAGGTCATCGAGCCGCAGACGGGAATGCTGCGCCAAAAGGTTTTGTCGATCGGGTTCTCGACTACGGACAGGAAGCCGGGGCCGTACGAGCTCTGTGTTGAAAGGTTATGGGCGACCAATGATTTTGATGAGGCTGGGGTTGTGGAGACTGATGTTCCGGGAGCTCAGCTTAAGAATAAGCATGGTGAGAAGGTCAAGGTTACGTGGGGAGCTTTGGAGCAGGAGTGATAGAGGGGCTGTATGCCTGTTCGTCAGTAGCGAGGTGGACTTGCGCTGTTGGCTACAAGAGGACTGGAGGTTGTACATTGTACTGTACGATTCTTGATCAACTGAGGAGGGAGGTTTATCACAACAGAACCGCGGTATTCAGGGGTCTGAGGAGGACAACGCGGGTAGATCGACAGATGGAAGAATAAAAGGGCTATGTTCTGTCCTACAGGCGCCTTAGCTGGCCGTGGTACAGTCTGAATTTGCAATTTTCATGACAGACTGGATTATAGGATACAACGAAACATGCTACTGGTGCCGAGTCCATGTTCGAGGAGCCAGACTGCAGTAGAGTGAAGACCAAGAGACTTGAGAATTAGAAAATAGGGTTATGTTAGACTTTCTTTTGTCTATTTGCTCATTCGTATGAAATCCTAGATGCGCACAGCAAGCAACTCACGGACTTGGATCAGACCCAGTCTCTTCACTATGAGCCCCTATGCTGGACATGGACGGCCAGCAGAAGAGCAGATAAGACAGTCCAGGTTGAGGAAGCAACCTATGGAACCTGGGTTTCCTTGCAATCCTTGAACGAGCCTTCGTTAGCAGCATCATGATTTGACACAGGCCGGCACACAATCAGCAAAATAGGCCGAAAGTTCACGAAAGCATTGCAGCCTACTGTTCTCGCATGAACGAGCGAGATGTTCTAGAGCCTCTGAGCAGCAAAGGAAAACCAAAATGAAAGGGCTAGGTGGAAAAGCAAACCATAACATTTTATTGAACCCCTTAATGTGCCGTGGTTTTTGTGGTACCACGCTTGCTGTAACCATAAAATCAAATCCCATAAGCGACCGGTACTTTGAATCACCGAATCTTCAGCAGCCTAAACTCCATTCCCCTTGTAATGCTGAATCCCATGAGAACCATTGCTACCAATAACGCCCCTCAACATGATCCAAACAAGTTGCTTGCCGGTCCCTCTTATAGACCTTGAAAATTGACGCTAGAAGTGATTTCGCCTAGTTATCCTGCTTGCCTCTGTCCCATTCCCTCTTCTCCCCAGCCTTGGTCCACTTGACATCCTCGATATCCCTCTCCCCATTGGGGCCGGTTTTCTCCCACTTTTTGATGTCCTCTTCTGAGAAGCCAGCAGCCCGAAGTCTGTCCGCACCCTGCTTGAGCCATTTTTGCCGGTCACGGAAGGATTCCACCATATCATCCCAGTCGTCAGTCTTGGCGACCTGGAGGTCACTCTCATCTAGTTGCATGTTTTCTCTTGGGTCGTAATCGTTCGCAAATCTTCCGTCCATGGCGGCTCCACCTCTGCCTGCTCCTCTCCCACGAGTGCGAACAGGTGGAGGGTAAGAGTCAGCAGATGGCGGTGCTGCTGGTCCAATGAGGTCCTCAAGTGGATCGGAGTCTTCGTTGTCGGTCTTCTCTTTTTCGGCCAGCCGACCGTGTCGTCTGTGGGTGGATAGTTTTTCTTGAATTATGTCGCGGTCCTTACGGGAACGGCTCTCCTTTTCGGATCTGCTGCTTCGAGACTTATGTGACGAGCGGCTGTGCTTCGTATCTTCTTGGTCGCTGCTGAGCGGGGAACGAGACCGATGTCGATGTCTGCGCTCACGGTGTCTTGGAGAGCGCGATCTGGATCTGTCTCTGTGCCGCTGTTCCTCGCGCGAGGACCTCTCTTCGTCCTTATGCTGTCGGTGATGGCGATGATGGTGGCGCCTTTCTCGTGTTGTATTTTTTGTATCCTCGTCTTCCGAAAGTCGACTCTCGCCTCTTTTATGTTTGTCCTTGTCGCTAAAGTTACTGTCCCTATGATCTTTGGAGGACGTCGTTCTTGTGCCTTCTTCAGCCCCACGCCTTTTCTTCTGCCCGGAAAGTAACGAGGAGATTGCGCCTAATTGTCGTCGTCGTATATCCTGTAGCGAGGGGTTGGTTTTGAGTCGCTTTTTCTCTTCTGCTTCTTCTAAGCCAGTCAAGCGCGCGTGCGCCTCGGCGGCCTCTTTGGCCTTGATTGCGGCATTGTGGGAGTCGGTTTCGCGGATGATGCGAGTCAGGAAATTGGTATTCGGCTTTGCCTTGTTCGCAGGTCTTTGGTGAAGGGAGGTCAGTCATGAATGGTTCAACTCCCGGTGTCGCGGCGACTCAAACGTACTTTGTCGATCTAAACGCTTCGAGGCCCATTGAGGAATACTTTATCGAGGCCTCACTCGCTTCCTTGGCAAGGAGCTCGGCGACATAATCATCCGTGATCATGGTGTCGTTGGCCATCGCAAACACTGATTTTATGCAAGAATGGGATTCAGCAGCCGCCCACGTATGGCCAAAGGTGTAGAATAAGAATTGATGGAGAAACACAAGTTTTGATGAGAAAAATTGGAAAGTTCTTGCAACATCCAATGCTGGGTGACACTGCTGACTGGCGACGGAGGCGGGCCGAGTTCGACGACCGAGATCCAACTGTGACGATGCACGCAAGGGGCGGCGCGGCAGGCATCCACAAGAACAGTTACAATCAAGTAGGACTCATTGCGCTTATCGATTGCAGCAGAAGTGGAGACGGCTCTTGGCTTGGCTTCCGCTTCCATGCCCAGGCCTGACCGGGGAGGTTTGCCTTATCGATAAAACTGAAAACATCCGACCTACCTACACATCTCAAAGTGTGTTGAGGGATAGAATAAAGGCGACTGTCATTATAGGATGGATGGCAGGTCAAGCCGGAATTTTTCCATTCCGTCAAGTGTATGTTGCGATTCAGAAAAGGGGTCAGACGGATGAAGTTCAATTCGACCGACTTGGATCGTGGAAATTCAAGACGCGCGGGACGGGAGGGAAGGAACCATGTCCGAACGCAATTGATTGTGTTGAAGGAAGTGACTGCCTACTGACGCAGTTGCCTCTAACTAGAACAAAAATTTCTTTCGGAAATGACTGAACTTGCTCGATCATTCATTGTGACAGTATTCGTAGACGGTTTGGAAGGAAAGGCTGCCCCTGCTTGTAAATTGACATTCGTACTACAGGACGTTTTCACCTCCCCAAAAACAAGCAATTGTCCATTTGTACGTATTACTGTGTATGTACACCTGGCATAAACAAACACCGACGAAACCCAGAAACGCCCGCGGAAAAGGGTTCAGGTCACGTTCAAGGACGGGCCGTGCGGGCAGCCGGGCAGTTTCCCTCTCTCCACAGCGGCCGGATAGGTTCCGAATGTTCCTTATAGTGTAGTGCATTGGCGAAGCTACCTAGATTCGATTCAGGTCAGCCCTAGGACCGCATGCGCCTCCACTGATCGACTTACTGACCCACTGCAGCGTCACGGGCCGGCGGGGAGCACTACCTCGAGAATGCTCGCCCAGCCCGATTTCATACTCCATCCCTTCCCCTCAATCGCTTGTGGAATCCATCCAGCTTCCACTTACACCTCGGTCGCTCCCGCGGCTTTGTATATCGTTTTGGTTTGCGGCAATCCAGCTTCAAGCCTCTGCTGAGCTTCCGGGCTCACCACTTCGTGCAACACAACAATGGACGGTCAGGGTCCACGTCGAAGAGCGGTCGACTCGCTCATTCATGACCTGGGCGGAATTGGTCACGACCTGCGCCGCTACCTTGACGAAGGAGAAACCCTGATCAGAAAAGTCAAACCGCCTGATGTTAAAGCGGCCCGAGACCTATTTGAACAGATCATAGCTCGTATCGATAATGTGTCAGCTAAGCTGGCTGATGAGCACTTCCTATCCTCAGACATCCCTCCAGCGCCATTGGCCAATGGTCCCAACACTCCCAATTCTCAAGTCGACGTTTCAACAATTGTCCACCATCAGCAACAGTTTGTTCTTGCCGAGATTGTTGAAGCGGGTCAAGCGCCGCAACAGGTGCAGCGAGAGCAAGAACCAGTACAGCAAGATCAGCTACAAAGCCAACAACAACAAAACCATTCAAAAGGCCAGCATGAAGTCCAGCTACAACTCAAGCTCCAACCCCTGCTTCTGCCCCAGCATCATGACCAGCAACCAGTTCAACAGGACCAGTCGCAAGGCCAGCAGAAAATTCAGCTACAACCACAACAACCAGTAGAACAACAGGTGCAGCTACAACACCAGCGACGAGACCAGCTACATAATCAGCAAGGAATCCAACTGCAATCCCAACAACAAAACCAGCAAAATGGCCAGCAACAAGTTCAACAAGAGCAAAAAACCCAGTCGCGATATCAGCAACAGGAGTGCCGGCCCACAGAAACTGTCCCGGAAACTGTCCCGGAAGCTGTCCCGAATGCGGGAGTTGGCGCAGTCAACAGAGAAGAGAGCTCACAGCCGGGACCGCCAACCCAGGACGAGATACACGCCGCTTTATCGGCCCCTCGACGCATTTTACCAGCCCCATTTCCAACTACAAACAGTATCCCTACGAACTCGTCAATAAGTTGCGTCACTGGTCCTGATGTAGGAGTTCGGTCCGGAGAGCCAACTCGGCTCCGGTCTCCCAAGCTGCTTCTTCTTCACAAGGACAGCGCCCCTCTCTTCGACTGCACCTACCAGGACATCCATGTCCTCAATGAGGAGCTCTTTGAACAATGCTCGCTCCATCCCGATGTGCATGCCAGAGGCTATTTCAAACTTCAGGTCAGAGATCTTCCGTCTCTCCAAGTTGGTAAAATGGGTAGACTAGATCAGAACCATGCGACCTCCTTTGTCTACAGAAAGGACAACCTGGGCCTCATCAAGGTTGACACTGGGAAGAAACCAAGAATTAGGTGGCCCAAGTTTCCCCTCCCTACGACCGAGAAGCAAAATTGGTCGTTCAAAGAGCAGAAGCATCTGTGGAACTCTACTGCCGCACACCCGCCAAATGGAGCCCGACCGTACATTATCGGCAATCCGCTATTTGATGATGTCGAGCTGTCTCCGGGAGATAAGCTGAGACGCAGAGGCCCGACAGTCCTAGAAGGTATCAACACCCAGTATATCTACTTCAACCTTACTGGTAAGACAATCACAGTCATGCATCGAGAAGATGCCCACGTCCGGTCTGAAAACTTGTTACGTGCCGGTGAAAACAAGTTTTGGTGCTTTATCAAGCCGAGTTCTACTGCAAAGCTGGAAGAACGAATGCGCCAGGACTTTCCTGAAATGCGCGGCTGTTCGCAAGCACTCCGTCATCTAAGCCGCCATATCCCTCCTGCCAAGTTGGACGAATGGGGGGTTGAGTATACACTTGATTATTGTGTTCCTGGCCAGGCCGTGGTTACTGAGCCGGGTACATACCATCAAGTTCTCAATCTTGGTCCAAATTACGCGATAGCAATCAATGTTGAATACAACTCATCACCCGACGATCCGCCAAATTACACATTCTGCGATGAAGCCTGCCCTGATCAGTTTGCAATCTCCGCCCAAGACTTTCGCATCAATTCTAATGCTACGGCCATGGACAAGATGGCAGTCCCAGCCAAGACGAAGCCCATGGCAATGATGGCACAGCCTAAGCAACCAGAGGCCGTCTCTCCCCGGCGCCGTTTGTCAAATGACTCTATACCATCGGATTCTGCGCCGGCAACAGGTCAGCAACATGAACAACAACATCCAGTCTCGGGACCTCCACCGCAAGAATTCCAAGACGCTAAAAGTTATTACTCTCGACAACTAGACTCAACAGTACCACCTTCAATGCCAAGCACGGTTTCTTCCACGGTTCATGAAACACCACAGCCAGACATATCTGAAGCCAGTACGTCTGTCTTTGATCCAGGACGGGTTGATCGTGGCCCATTGCAGGTCGCTTTCGAACCACAGCACGTTATTACAGAGCCAGAGGCACTTCCAGAAGTACAACAGGCAGCCGCGGGAGTGCAGCAAGTTATTTCAGAGCCAGAGGCACCTCAGGACATACGACAAACAGCTCCAGAGCAACTACCAATACAACCCCGTTCACAAACTGCCGTGTTTCTACAACAGCAAGAACAAGCCGACATGGCTCGATCTCAACCAGTGATTCTGAATCCCTCTCAGGCTCGGGCTTTGGGTCATTCTGCTGATCGCTACCAAGAGCATCCGAGAGTACAAGCCACATTTCCCCTGTTGCAGCAATCGACAGCACCTCCTCGCGTGGTAACTGGACCCACGCCGCTGTTTAATGTACCAGATCTCCGGTTTGTGGGACCGCCTGTTCTCCAACCATTCGATGGAGCTATTCAGGCATTTGACCGGGATTTCCAAACGCAAACCTTCAGTGCTCAGCAAGCTTCGTACGGAATGTTACAACCTCCTCCTGCAATCAAGCCGAGTAGCTTTCCTGCCCATATCATCCAATCCTACGTTCATCAAACTTCAGAAAGTCCATCAATCTTGAATAATGTAGCAGCCTCCGATGTGGGACTTAAGAGACCTGCAGAAACACCAATGCAGTCATCGGTCAAGAGAACGAAGCCAAACAATGAAGCAACTTCTTTCGGGCACCTTGCCGATCTGCTCAGAACAGCCAAGAGCCCACCGGTTGAGCAGGTATGGAGTAAAGCAGCCTTTTTGAGGTTGGCTGGCCTGGTCAGGAAATGGAGGGAGTACTCTAGATCGGTACCCATCTCCGGAGGCGGCTTCGACCTACTTGATCATGTTGACGACGCAGAACAGATCAGCCAGGAGCTACAAGTCTTCCTCCGTCGGTTTTTGAAGATGAAGCTCTCAGAGTGTATCGAAACCACAGCTCAAGTAAATGGTCTAAAGGATGTATTCGATCGCCCTGTATCATCCCACATCGATTGGGGTGAGATTTTCCGTAAGCTCAACTGGGACGTAGCTGGTAGAAACCAGCTTAACGACTACGTTCGTGAGGGAAAATGTTGGCGGACCATTTGCGGTGAGTATAATGGGCTCTTGTGCCTTTTACCATCAGACGATAGGTTCTTGGAACTGGCAATGTTCAAGGACCAGCTTGCCCACTTCCATGCTCAGCTCAGCACCAAGGCCGTCCGAAGAATGTGCACTATGGGCCAAATACTAGAAAAGTCCATCTGGGAGTACTTGGAACTGCCAGAATTTTCCTGGGAATCTGTGGATACATCGGAGTTGTCTCTTGATGAGATTTCGCCGCTTTTGTCCCAGTTCAAACTCATCAAGGCGAATCATTATGACCGTCTCAAGTACAACTGGGAGATACAGCCACCACCGCTCGGTTGGACAGACCCGTGGCCATCGGATCCTATGTCTGTTTCAAAGTCGGACAAGAAGGCCTGCAGCCTCTGCAACAACAGCAAACGGATGACGACAGAGAAGTCGTCCTGCAAGTGTCTGGTAAAAAGGCTCCCACAAATCCCGCGCATAACTGAAGACGGATCCAGAGGTGCAGGTGTACGTGCGATTGGTTCCTTCAAGGCGGATGAGTGTCTCGGCGAGCTCGTCGGCGAGTTGCGGCCACCACGCACGACAGGCACTTCTTACAGCTCCGATCATAGTCACCCAAATATTTCCAGCGGCCAAGCTCAATTGAACAATCACAACAGCAACAGACACAATCACGAGTGGGCCATGGAGGTCCGCCGACCTGATCTTCACGACCAACTGGTAGCAGATATATATCCTCAGCAAATGGGAAACTGGGTTCGCAAGGTTCGTCATGATGGCGTTAGCCCGTCAGCGGTCTTCAAAGTCATGAAAATCACTGGAAAGTGGAGGGTGATGCTGGTGGCCATGAGAGACATACGCGATGGCGAGGAGATCACAGCAAAGTACGGGCGAGGATATCGGAAGGAACAACCCTATGAGGTTGTTGAGGGTTTGCACTGATATTTTCACTTTGGTCCGTTGATCCTCCTCTCCTATTATCATAGTCTTACTAGTTGCTCCCTGGGCGGCGTTTGGTGTGACTATTTCGTTTGCTCATGGACACTCTCATGAGGAATCAGGTTCACGGGACAAGTATCGGCGATTTAGACGTTTCCCCTGAGGCGAAGGGCAGGTAAGTGGGAAACCATCTTAGATGATGGAGCTTTTGTTTTATTGTTGTTAAGGACAGGAAATCTTTTTTTTCTTGATGTTGCATCTTTGTCAGGTATCATTATTGGACGCGCGATTGTTACGAAGGCCGTACGCTTCTACGCATTGTCATTCAGCGAACATGGGGGCTTTGGCAAAAGCATGGAACAACATGGTAAATCTAGAAGTGCCCTATAGGACGATCTTACTCACAGTTCATTCATGACAGGGCATGTATTTTCTCCATCACTTCTCTATATCATCAAGCCAAACAAGAGCAACTTAATACCCACATCAACAAGGCTGGGAAATGTTTCAGATTCATCATATCCTTGTTATTCTAACAAGACGATCAACCGTTGTGCATGTATCTATTTCATGTGCCTGCTGCAGCCCAGGAAGAAAACAGGGAATGAAAGAGAAGAAAGGGCTTGAACAGTCTACTGGCTGTACATAAATAACAAACTTGTTGTATACCAATCCAAACTCCGTCTTGTGTGCACCTAATAGTAGCCTCGTAGCCTCGTTATGCTCATCAACAGTTCATCCAGGTATGCATTCTTGTTTTTCTGCTCTCATCTGAAACTCCCATATCCATCTGCTGTGAGCCAACTGCTGACCATCAATGTGTCCATTCTCTTTGTATTTCAGTTAGCTCGTAATAAACCTCCTCTTTGTGTCGAAGCCCATATCATAGTCATATGGGGTTTAAGATCCTATATCTTCCAGCTACCGTTGACGATAAGCACGGCTGGAGTCTTGCGAGCAGCGGTTGAGGCTGTGGTCGAAGTCCTCTTCGCCGAGGTCAATGGCCTAGTCTCCTTATCTTTCCCCTGTGTTATTTGCTTTCCTCAATGTAATCAGTCTTGTGAACTCATGCTGAATACTATCATTCAACGAGAGAGAGTCGTAACGAACCTGAAACCCATCACCCACATCACACCCAACCCCAGCTCCAGCCCCAGATCCTCCCTCTGCCGCGGCAGGAGCAGACGCAGTCCTACCAGCCCCAGCCCTCCTCTTACCCACCCTCTTCTTCCCCGCTGTCGCCGCCGCCGTCGTCTGTCCCTGCGACGTCGCCTGCACCTCCTCCCGTGACGACACCTCATCCACCACCGGCCTCGCATTCAACCGTTCCGATTGTCTCAACACCTTGATCGCCCGCCTGGCAAGCTCATGCGAACTAAACGTGGCCAAAGCAATACCAGGGAAACATTCGAGTGTTTCGAGAGGATGCATAGGGCCGCTGCCGCCGCGGGCCAGAAGAGGGGCGAGCTCGGACTTGATCTGGGAACCCATTTTTTCTTGGGTGTTTAGGGAGAGAGGCCATGCGGAAGCGGGATGAGTATTTGATTTACGGGTGGCGTTACTAATAGAGTCTTCCCGCCATGTGATTGCAACTTTCCGAAATCCCGAGAGGGAGGGCTCGGAGATTGAGCGGGAGGCTTTGGGAGTGTTGGGGGGTGTGGGGGGGAAGAGGTTTGGTAATTGTGCTTGGGCTTGTGCTTGTGCTTGTTGTGAGGTAGCGCAAGTTTCTGGATAGGATTGCTCGGAGGAAGCATTTGATGCTATCGGGGTGGTCGCGGTGATAAACTCCTCTGCTGCTTGAACAGTCGAGCCGGCAGTATCAGGATCAGCCAACGCTGTTGGGTTGATGAAGAGGCTTCGATCTCTGAAGAAGGGAGCTCTGACTAGGACGAGGCCAGCTCCAGTCTCGTCGTAACCGGGGTTGTGGGCGAGTATCTCTCGGCCTCGAAAAAGTGACTCTCCCAAAACTCCTTAATCGCAGGATCACGAGGTTAGTAAGAGAGACCGGCGTAGATGATTGCTTTTGCAGTTCGAAAGACATACTCCTCACATGATTGAACGCCTTGAATCCTACAACACGGACCCAACCTGAATCCTGACGTTTTCCGAAGATGCTAACGTAGAGGTCGAGTTTCCATGGGATTTGGCTCTTTATGAAGTCTTTCACATCTTGCCAGCTTGTCCGTTCCGGTAACTCAGAAGGATGTAAGTCGACGTTGAGATGAGTATGGATTAGTAGGACACTTACTCCACTGATGATGATATAGTAGGGGCCAGTGTGAAAATCGCCTGGACCGATCAGGACGCTGGGCGGATCATGGGAGATCGCCATGTTGCTGATCCTTGTGGTTACACGAGGGAAGATCAGATATTCTAGACTGGTCAGCTAAAGTTGGTCGATATGTAGAGCTTCTTCAAAGTTTGGTGATGGGAGGCTAATGCCTTTCTTCCACCTGATATTGAAGGGGTACTAGAAATTTGTCCATGGGGGAGTCCTCTTTACATATGAACTCGCCAGAGGTGATTGGCACAAGTGTTGAGAACCAGATATACCCGGAAGAATCTCCATAAGTCAATTGAGAATGCCGTCAACTGGTTTGGAAAGTTAAAGTCGTAGCGTGTATTTTGCTTGCAAAGGGGCCTGATGACTGATGGGACGGAACTTTGCTTTTCTGGGCCCTGTCACAATGCAGCCATTGCATGAGGCGCTGAAACCTGGCTTTCAAGTTGCGATATATGGCCTTGTTTAGCAAAACAGAGGATCGGAGTGGAGGTTGGAAGTGTAATTCCCTGCGGTTGGCTGTTGTTTGGAACATGAGAAGTGATATTGAGGGTACATGGTGGACCAGCCTCGACAATGCTTCGCGCTAACAGTCGAATATGAGATTTGATGGTAATGAACTATACTCATCTCCCTAAATTCACAAGACACAAGATATAGTTAGCTCAGGTTGTTAGGAATTGTTTTCATCGTCATCATGTAGTATGGAGTTGATCTTGTACGCAGCGATTTTGACCATATCATAACTCGATGTTCCATGACAACAACCGACTTCATATGTCCACTTTCGATTTCTATAAACACTAAAGCCTGAGAGTCAATAGCAACCCTCTATCGTCATTACGTTAGAGGGTTGACAGGTCAACCGCTGTACCCCTTGACGTTCGTTAACCCCCTCCAGGCTAGCAATGCAACCAAGTCTTAGAACCCCCCCTTTTATCCATCTCACTTCCCAATTCTCTTATTTGCAGAAGCAAGTCATCAACCACTTCATGTACGCTGCACCAACCACAAGCCATGAAGTCAACCTCTGGAAAACGATAGTGACGTGCCCCTTACCCTGCGGTCCGGGAGCAAACAGTGTGGACAGTAACAAGCCCTAGCTGCAGCCGACTCCTGCCAGATCTGTCTCACTGGCCAGACCCTGTGCCACATGGTAACACAACACCGCTGAACTTTACGGACCGTCATGGACGGACGGCTAAGCGCAGGATCACTGCCGACAGTTGACTTTCTCTCTGAAAAAAAAAAGTCGAACATTCAGCCACACGGTACCTCTATGCTGACACAGCTGAGAAGATGAGAAGACGATGTTCTCTAGTGACGGTGGTACTGGAGCAACATGAGCGCCATCGCGATACACAGTGCAAAGAACCACAGCCTTTAAGTATCCCTTGCACCCTAGACTGGTACCTGGTCGGATGGTTCAGGTTGGCCAGAAGCAACCCCGAAGTCGACCAGCCCGAGCAACTTTATCCGAACAGCGATCCACCGCATGTTTAAATGGCCTTTTGTCACCAAAGCCAAAACCACGACTGCTATAGGGCATGGATCCGATTCGGCACACCGTCTTCGTGTTGTTGTGAAGGCTTCAGCCCGGAAGCAAGGTCCGTCACCGTGCATACACACGGCAAATCATCAACTTGATGCAAGGCCAGTTCATGATATTGGATATCTGGGTTACATCACAATAATTCAACTTCTCAGTGGTCCCTTCTGAGTGGGGGTCTCCAGTAAGACAGTAGTGTAAACAATGATCCACCACCCGCTTTCTTTTTTTATAATTGTTTTGAATTGTTTTGATGTTGATGAAACCCACGGGTTCAGAAGGAACACGCTACACTAGTTGCATCATCAGCATCAAAGCTACCACATGTTCGTGATCAAGCGGTTATTGGGAATAAGGCTCCCCACACAACAAGCGGAACTCCTTGAGAGGCCCCTGTTAACCTTTGGCTATATCAGCTCAAAACTAGTGGCTGTCACAAGATGTCTCTTTCAGGGACAACAACCGTGATTTCAGCAGTCTGCACCAGGGTAGCTTGGGTATGCTTCCGTCTTCGAAGAACTTTCCGTATAAATTTGTGGATCTTGAGATGACTGCGAAACAGTTGCCCTTTTTGGATCAAAAGGTGTCGACTCGAACGAGGAAATGCAAGGCAACATCACCGTTACCTACCTTAATCCCGGCCATTCCCCATTCATCGTTTCCGAATAATACAGTCAGGGAAACTCCGGATGCATTGCCCTTCTCCTCCCATCTCTCTTTGATGGTGCCCAATGGTCGTTGCCAGCAGGTCGGCACAGGAGAACGAAGCCTGAAACTGATTGGTTCAGGATCCTGTACCCGAAGAGTTGCCCAACCTCACTGACTACCAAATTCAGTCACAAACGGATGACCGGGTTCTCGAGAAGCAGCTCAGTTATCTCGATGATGTGCAGGTTTCCATATCGATAGGAAAAAAAACCTATGGAAGCTCGTTGTATTTGTAAAGAGAGGGTTTCGCGATGACGTTTCGATTCTTACTTTCCATCGACGTGGTGTGGTCATTGTCTTTTGGCTGATTATGTCGGATTCCAGAGAATTTGACTTGATGATACCCCTCAAACAATATCCAAACTAGAACTGGGATACTCGTCAGGTCTTCAAAATCGACCGTCTGACTAGTGGGCGAGCCACTAGTCAGGACTAGCAACTCGTACACGACCAGCAACTCGTACCGGATTCTTGTATCGGGTCGGTATATGGTGTGCATGCATTGTACATGCAGCTCGGGGGGTAAAATGTACTTAGACTATATACATATGCAGGTAAGCCCGCTAACTGGGTTAGCGTAGGCGACTTTGGTACTAAGGGTTTTTCTTGGCCCGTGCAAGTCGCTCCCGCGGTACGAGTTGCTGGTCGTGTACGAGTTGCTGGTCCTGA